GTATGGATGACACGAGGCTTTATTGCCTTTTTCTATGCCCATTCCTTGAGATGCCCAATCTGGCCATGACAAGCCTTGTCTGAATTACTGCAACATTCTCTACATGGGTATACCTTTGAACAGTGTTCAGAAATTTCAGCTGGTTCAAAATGCTGCAGCCAGACTGCTGATTTGTGCTGGTTAATGGGAGCATGTAACTTCCTTATTACAATGTCGTCATTGGCTGTCATTCTGTTTCCGGGCCCTGATCAAAGTGCTGGTTATTACTTATATAAAGCCCTGTACAACTTGAGACCAGGCATTTTTAAAGATCATATCATTCTATATTAGTCTACAAACAATTCTGAATGTTTTTCATCTTGTTTTTATCTTGATTAATGTTTGTGTTTTTCTAGTTTTGTATAGTAGCTTAAAGCAATTACTGCTGCACAGTCTTAACTATTGTGGTCCACCTTAGGTACCCTATAAGGAGAAAGGCAGCAGAAAGAGAGAGAGAGGGGTGGGGTGGGGGTGGGTGGATGGATGGATGGATGGATGGATGGATGGATTATTCTACCTATATCATGTAAGGAGGCAACAGAACTTTCACATGAGTTGTTCACAGAGAGAATGATAAATATATCCCACCAAGGACCTAGCTGCATGGCTCTTTGGCTTAATTAATTTAATTGAGCTTTCTGTTGATGTTTTTGGGATTAGATTGATCTCTTATATTAAATATTGGCATATTCCAGTGTTCGCAGGCTTAATGAGTTTAATCCAATTCACAAAATATTCCAGAAACTATAAAAAAATCACATCAGTTTGAAGGCATAGAATGCTAAATTTTGAAAAAGAGACTTCCTATAGAAAAGTTGTCCTTTTAGATGTCCGACATAAACTATAAACTATCTTCAGTGTATCTCTCATACATGTCAATTCAGACACTGGATCCAGTGAGTTTGCTAAAACTCTCTCTCTCTCTCTCTCTCTCTCTCTCTCTCTCTCTCTCTCTCTGTGTGTGTGTGTGTGTATGTGTGTGTGTGTGTGTGTGTAAAACTGCAGGTGGGTTTGTGCACATGTACAAACATTTGTGTTTACCACTTTCCTTTTTCATGAAAAGAATTAACAACAAACACACAAACAAACCTAACTACGGAAACATGCTTATTTGCTAAATAGTTAATTTATTTAGATGTGTGCTATTAAAATAGAATAAAACAAATCCCTGATACACTCCTTGATTCTTGCATGTACAGTATAAGGAAAGTTGCCTTATCGCATTGTATTTAACATGCAATAATAAAACATGGAGTGCAACTCTCAGCATATTGATTGGGAGTAAAATTAATCAAATTCAGTTGAATTTATTCCCATGAAAGAGTGTCTTGCAGTCTCCAAGACTGCAATCCAATATACTATTTAAAAAAACTTTTTTAAAAAATTCAAACATAAATTAAGGGTATTTCAAGCCAGTTAATTAACATAGCAGACTATGACATATTTTATAAATCACAATATCTTGGATTATAACAATGCATTTAAATGGTCTAAAAATAATTGGAATAACCCTGATTTTCAAGCTATTATAATAATCTTGTAATGTGCTCTCTATAATCTGTAACGAGATTGCCCAGAACATTACCAGATCTGTGTAAGGAATATAATCTGGCTCATTCTCAATGAAGCGAGACTACTGATGGCACAGAGCCAGCTGACCATTTCATGAGATGGTAGGAAATAATTTAAGACATGCCACATACATAAATTTATCAGAGGCATTTTGTACATCAAAAATTATGCAGGATTAATTTGCACTTTATGTCTTAATTTTTAGCATTCAAGTCAGGGCATAATGGAAACATGACCAGTAGTTTAACACTAGGTATTAGAAATACCATAGTTTTTGGTTTTGAGGCTTTCTCATTCTTTAAGCAAATAACCAAAACAAACAAAATTTTGTTTAGCATTCCATTGTATTCTCTTTGGGATCTCTTAAAATGAATTATTCATTTGAAGACACTGCGGGGAGTGGGGGGGGGGAGACAAAAAAGTAACAGATGATCAACTTTAGGGTTGCTGCAGAATAGAATGTCAGGAAACTGGATCCCAGAAATTCAATTACTTAATGGCAGTGATCCTGTTTCACTGTCTCATTTCTGTTGACCTACTGGGAGCATCCCTATCATATGAATCTTTTGATCACTGGTGCACTCCTGGAGTAGATTTTTAATGAAGCTGCAAATCTGCCACTGAGTAGCACATTTTCTTTCTCTGAGGTTTTCATTCCCAATAAAATATTCATAGGTTTTTAAAAGGCATTATTGCCAGAATATTTAATACTTCTAAAGATGGAAGACTTACTTCTTCTAAACTGGGGAACTGACAGAAAAATGGGAGAAAACACATACAAATGTATCTGTTTTAAACTGTAAACCATTTCCAGTTTTACTACTTTAAAGAATAAAAAATAATAATGTAATGCATATTGTAGCCTCTAAAGTAGATTCTCCATTTCACTTTAATCAGCAAAACTTGTGAAAAACAACAGTTACTACCAATATCAACAACAATGTTACAATAAGATCCAAAATAGCTAAAGTGCTACATCTTTGCAAGCTGGATTAGTTTGACTGTATGGATGGGCCTGGATTCAGCTTGGCTGCATACGTGGTCTCAAACACACAAAATAAGGATTTATGCACTGAATTTAACTCTCTTTCTTGTAACAGTCTTAACCCATATATCTGTATTATTACCCTGCTGCGCTGTTTTTATAACACAAATAGTACAGTACTGCAATCTCATTTTATCCAGTGTGACAATACCAGCAATTCTATGCAATGCAAGTGTTCAGTGGTGTACTAGAAACGATTACACAAATACGGTATGTACAGGACATACTGAGGCAGGCTTTAATTGATGCAGCACAAGGTTACGTTGTCACCTTACAGAATTACTTCCAATCAATAAAATTCAGTAATTTTTAAAAAGTCTCCGTAATTTGATAGAACAAGTTGTTTGTGAACAAAAGCCAAATGACTTCTATACCCAAACTGGGTCCAGATTATTTAATTTGCTTATGTTTTCTAATCCAATTCAATGCTGAAGGCTGATGCACGCCAATAAATAAAAATATATACACAGATATGAAGAGAAGGTCATTTAGAGAGTGCTCCACACCGCCCCTGAATCTTGCACACAATGTGCCTAGGTACACAAGAAGATGTGTTACCCTGTTACGATTACATAGCTGTTCTCCAGGCCACTGCTAGAAAAAGACTGAGAGAAACGAGAAAAGAAGGCTGGGTGGGGAAAGGCTTTCCGTAACTGGATTGTGCTTCTTCACGATCACTCGCCGTGGGTTTCCCCGGTGCAATCTCCCTCATACACCAAGGCGGGAAAACCCAGCCGGCTAGAGCTATGGAGGTTGACTGTGGAGGGCCAGCAGGAAAAAGGGCGGGCTACAACCCGCGGAGCCGAAGCACTGACCACGAAACCCGGCGGCTAATTCAGTCTCTCTCTCTCTCTCTCTCTCTCTCTCTCTCTGTGTGTGTGTGTTTGTGTGCGCGCGCGTGTATGTGTGTGCGTGCTCGTCTGCCTTGCAGAACCCCACCGGAGGAAGCTCCAGGGAAACCCGCACCGAAGGCGCCTGGGGCCAGCCTCCGTTACTGCCTGACAGGGTTGGTCGCGGCTGGACAGCTCCTAGCAGCCCGGCGTTACACCACGCTCGACCCCCAGGGTGGATTCCCCGCGACCCCCACCGCCACCGAAGACAAGGCGGGAGGAAGCGGCGCGCAGCTCGGGATGTTTCGGAAAAGGCGTAAATGTGCGCGCGAACGGCGGTGGTGGCGGCGTCCTTCCTGGCCCTCGTGGCGGCGCGCTCCCGCGGCCGGGGAAACCCCCGCCCCCAGCCTAGCAGGCCGGCGGCGCGCTCCCCTCCCGGGCTCCCTGCGCCTGCCAGAGCTTCCCCGCGCCAATGCACAGCCCCGGTGGAAGCCACTGCAGCTCTCGCCCCGCGCCCGCCACTCCCTCAAGGGACAGCTGGCGCCGGGGCGCAGCGCTTTCTAGCAAAAGGCCGCCTTCCAACGCCCGCCCGCTCTCTCGCCCGCTGCCGCCTTGCCCTTCGCTTTCACTGGCGCCCGAGCCGAGGCCGTGCCCTCAAAGGGTTAACGAAACCTCCCCCGTCTCCCCTCCCCCCCTCCCGGCTCCTCTTCAGTGCAAAAGCCCTTTCCCGACTCCTCTCTTGAACAGACGGAGGAGCGCGAGCACCGCCTTTCACGCCGGCATTCCGGGATTTCCCTTTGTTCAGAACCGGGAATCCTCTCCCTCGGCAGGCTTTCCCTGCCGCCCTCCCCAACGCGCTTATCCCAGTCTGCTCCATCGCTTTCAATGGGATTAGTCCGGAGCAAGTGCTTCGAGAACTGGATTTGGAAACTGATTTTTTTATTTTTTTGGCTTGTTGTTCACCCCCGAACTGTACCATCTAATTACAGCATATGCATAATAGATGAATTTGTCTTTCCGCACAAAGCCCCCAATGCATTAGAAGGAAACCCAGTTTGCTCCCCACGGACAAAGTAGTCCAGGCACGTTTATTCCCCCCAATTTACCTCGATGTTCCCATTTCACCGGGGGATTCCATTACCCCCAACGCGTGTCTAAGCAGAGGAGGGGGCTGGGGCAAGAATTTTAGGCATCGCCTGGAATTCATAGCATTAAGACCGAAAGCCCCGTTCACGTCCACCCTTCCAGGCACCCTCCCCGGCGCGAACCCGTGTCCTCCCCACAGCATACAAAAATGATTGAGATATAGACTCGAAGCGGGGGTGGGGAGGTGAAGTGGGGCATCGACACTTTCTTGCTGTCGAAGTGGGAATAGATGGGGGTGGGAGTACACCATTAATAGGATTTCAGGTTGCAGAATAATTATTTGAGATGAATGCCCTTGTCCAAACGCAGTGGGGAATCTAGAAGGAGCGGGGGTCTGATTAAAAAAAAAAAAGGCAAACAACCCTTACCTGTCCGTGCAGCTCTTGCAACAGCAGCGGGTGGTGTCGGTGACAGCCCCCCTCCTCCCGCCCGGCTGCCACTGCAGTGAGAGTGTGGCGGTGGCAGGAGGAATTCCCTCCCGGGCAGACCGCGAGGGTGCGGGAGGGAGGGAGGAAGCCGCGCGCGCGCCCACTTGGCCGGCTGTCACTGCCACCACCGACAGCACGCGCCGCTCCTGGGATTCTCTCCCCGTCTCTCTTCCTCCTCCTCCTCCTCCTCCCCCCTCCTCCCCTCGCGCGCTCTTCTTTTCACGCTGCAGCTTACCACCCACCCCCCCATTTCAGGTGACGTGATGCCCGTTGTTTTGGTCCGCCCAACCAATCGGACTCGGCGTCTGGATTCTACGGGAGCCGGGATGGGCCCGTCGTGGCGGCAACAGGACTCCCCTCTGCCGACCATAACGCATTGCGCAGGGTGCACCACCGCCTGGTCCTCCTGCAGCTTTAACAGCTCTGACATGGAAACACCATTGCAGTTCCAGCCGGGCTTCTGCTCAGAGCAGCAGCAGCAGCAGCAGCAGCGCCCACACCCGCATTGCCAGCAACAGCCCAGTCAAGAGAAACAGCAGCAGCAGCAGCTCCAGCAGCAGCAGCAGCAACAGCAACCCAGCCCATGCCTCCAGTGCAACAACTGCGCTTACTACGGGGCTTCGGCTGCAGCGGGAGATAACCTACCGCTGCTGCTCCGCACTTCGTCTCCCCTGTCGGGCGCTTTCCGGACACGTTCCTCGCCCATCGCGTGCTCCGCAGCCTCCTCACGCCCGGGCAGCCAGCTCAACGTGAGCGAGCTGACCCCTTCCAGCCATGCCAGTTCGTCCAGGCAGCCCCCCCACTACTCCCAGTCCCACCAGCACCACCACTCCCACTACCACCAGTGCCATAGCGTGCAGCCGCCGCCGCCGCCGCCGCCTCAGCCGGCCGCAAGCCCCCACAGCAGTGTCAGTAGCGGCAGTCACCACCACTATCACCACCACTACCAGTCCCAGCAACAGCAGCAGCAGCAACAGCAGCCGCCGCCGCTGCCGCGCCGAGAGAGCAACCCCTTCACGGAAATAGCCATGAGCAGCTGCAGGTACAACGGCGGCGTGATGCGCCCTCTCAGCAACCTCAGCTCGTCCCGC